TCTCGGTAGCGTACCAGCAGTGCCTCGGCGCTCTGTTCCAGCGGTGTGGGAGACGGCTTGCTCGTTTAGCGCAGGAGAGGTTGCCGACTGTAATGCTTGTGTCTCCGTTTCCAGGCATTAAGTGGTGATTTCCAAAGGCAGCGCGGCTCGGACCCATGAAGGCCTGTACTGAAGACAGCTCGCTGTTGGTACAGACTGGATGCTTCTCTCGCAGCCGCGTTGTGCCTCCTGAAAAAAAACTTAATGAAAGACCTCTTTCAGTGCTGGCGTGTTCCAGATACTGCACAGTCATGGAGTGCAATAATACTGTATAGTTTTTTTAAGATTTCATTCGACCAGTTCATAGCTCAACAATGCAGGCATTACTAATTGTAACTTATTTTATAGTCATGTTTCACACAATGGCAGATTGAGTTGATACCTAATTTTTCCTCAGAAAAAAAGTTTGTTTAATCTGTTGTATTTTATATGAATTTATGTTCTTTTTGTAGTTTAAAATGGAGTTATAGGAGTGTCTGATATTGTCCTAAACTTAAGTAATTGACAGCTGTCTATCAAATATCTCTAATGTGGTTAAAGCAGGTTTGTATATTTTTCAAAATATATGGCAGAGTTGAACAGTGCATTATATACTAAATTATATAAACAAAATTATATGCAGAGTAGTTACATCATTTTGTGACTTCAGTAAAAATTAAGATCAACTGCTTTTTAAATTGCATTGGCCAGCTCAGGAGGTTTTTGCTCGACCATTCTGAAGAGATGAAAAGCTGGGCCTTCCTACTGTCCCGAATAGAAACCGAGAAGGTTAATTTAAATAGAGAGTTCTCATTTACTGTGTGAACTACCTTGTTTGAGTCACTGATGGATATTCTTGGAACTGCAATTGAAAAAATGCATAAAAAGCCTACTTTCCAAAGTCATTAATCTTGCGTTTGTCTTGTCTGAGCCCCTGACAACCTCTGTGTGCTGGAAGGAACACACGGAGCTCTGTCCTCCCCTTCACGCGCCTGCCAGAATTCAGCTGCCATTGGAGTTGAGGTGCTGTTGTGCCGGGGAACCCCGCGGGGCTGAGGGGAAGTCTGAATGCAGTTCTGCTGCGGGGGCTGGGGCGTCCTGGGGTTGGCTTCCCGAGGCGCTGGGGCTGCAGCTCCTGCGCTGCGGTTTCTCTCCACCGTCGGGTCTCTGCCAGTGGCCGAGTGGCCGCTGCTCTGGCGCCCGTGTGGGGTGGTGCAGCCCCGGCAGCGCCTGCCACTCCATGTTTTGTCCCTGCTCTGAGCTGCAGGGTTTTGCACGCCTTGTAAAACAGCTGGAGTACTTTCTGGATACTTCTGGAGCCCCTCTGCGGGGAGGACAGGCTGGGAGAGTTGGGGGGGTTCAGCCTGGAGAAGAGAAGGCCAAAAAGGGGAGACCTCAGAGCCCCTTCCAGTGCCTAAAGGGGCTCCAGGAGAGCTGGGGAGGGACTTGTGACAAGGGCATGTGGTGATGGGATGAGGGGGAATGGCTTCAAACTGGAAGAGGGGAGATTGACATGAGATAATCAGGAAGAAATGTTTCCCTGTGCGGGTGGTGATCCCCTGGGGCAGGTTGCCCCGAGAAGCTGTGGCTGCCCCATCCCTGGAGGTGTTCAAGGCCAGGTTGGACGGGGCTTGGAGCAACCTGGGCTGGGGGGAGGTGGCCCTGCCCAGGGCAGGGGGAGGGACTGGGTGATCTTTAAGGTCCCTTCCAACCCAAACCCTTCTGTGATTCTTACTGAACGTTGTCTCTGGATGGGGAGGGAGATTCTCTGTTGCGGTGGTGATCAGATGAGAAGGGAATCTGCAGAGCCGTGACAAAGGCAGCTGTCATGGCGTGTGAGAACTCTTCGACCCTTCCCAAGGCTTTAGGGACTGATGTCAGAAATGTGTCAGTTACCGAAGGCTCTGTCCGCCCAGCTGAGAGAAAAGCCAATGTCAGTTGTTATAAAGGTGTTGCCCATCACAACCATTAAACACAATGGCCTCAAGGCCACTTTGTGATGAAATCATGTAAAATGCTGTCTCTTCTGAAATAGATTAGCCAAAGTTTTCTAGTGTGGATACAGTTTTAGTTTCTCATTAATTGTACACTTCAGACAAATTAGACAGAAAACAAATAAATGCACAGATGTGTTGCTAGGCTAAGATTTTCCGTGAGCTGTTCATGTTATCACCCTTGCGATATTTGTTCACGATCTGCCTGCTGCCCCCCGTGTTCCTGCTCTTCCATCTGAGCAAGGTGGTTTATCGATACACTGGGGTTAGCTATGCAAGAACCTTTGCTGACGTCCCTTAAATGTACCAGAAGGTTTTTCCATTGGGGGGCTTTTTTTCATGGGCTGGACCAAGCCCCATGGTCCCAGTTCACAGAGCACTTACAAACAAAAAAACAGAACAATAAAATGGAAATAAAGAACCTTGATGGTCATTAAAGGCAGCGATACCCGCCAGCCTTCCTATAAGCCAGTTGCGGTGTTTGTGGTGCTTTAGCCAGGAGAGCTTGTTCTAGTCTGAAATCGGTGCTTCCTGAAGTCGAACGAGGACAGAAGCCCAGCTGGGCAGTTTTTGGGTCCCAGGCAGCCGGAGCCTGGCAGTCTGCCTCCAGCAGCGCCCAGGGGACAGACCCCGGGCGCGGATACGCTGCTTCCCGGTCACCCTCCTGCCCTCCCTGCCCCCAGAAATACTCACCACGGGGCTCTCTGCGCCCTCGGTGCTTTCTGTGTATTTGGTAACCCTGAAAGGGTTTCTTCTCCTTGAATCATCTTACTAACGAGTCTTTCTTCTGTGGAGATGGGTCTGACAACCAGCACTGCTTGGCGCGGCGGGAAACCCATATACCCACGTGGCGTCCTGGTGTTAAAATTGCAGCTTTTTGCTCTCCCGTCCTGCACAATGCTACTTTGTAATGTTAAAATGAAGGTGTAACGACCTATATATCTGAAAAAGCCCTGTTTGAACACTTGATTGATTTTACCCATAAGCAAAATGGATATTAAATAATAAATCTGAGGAGCAAATTCAAGCTTGTTGATCTTGGCTTGTTAAGCGCAAGGGTAGATGATACAGGTCCAGCGGATCTGCTGTGAGCTGGGTGCAGACTAGGGAAGGACAAAAAAATGGGTCTCGCATTTCCCACTGCGAGTGCAGAGAAACGGGCCGTTGCGTGTAAGCTGCTTGCAGCAGAGATCTGTTTTCGGGTCTCATCTTGTGCTTGTGCTGGCGTAAATCAGACAACCTGCTAAAAACTGGAATGACGATGGCATAGCAGGTCAAAATCAAACTCCCGGGTGTGATCTTCATCTTTGTAAAGCAAAGATTTAGAATCTAGAAGATACTTAATCTAATCAAAGATTTTCACCCAAGGCACTGTGCCTAAGCCTGCAGAGTTATGTGGGACGGGCCGTGCGGCAGCAGGACACTGCTCGGCCTCGGACCCTGCGGCGCGGGGGGACAGTCCCTCGCTCCCTCTCTGGGGAGAGCTCTGAAATCGCCCGGGCACGGAGAGGTGAGGGGCAGCTCGTGGTGGGCGTGTGTCAATGCCCCCCACTTCTGGTGATTTTAATATGAGATTTTGCCCAGTGGGCTGCGTTACAGGCTTTGGCGTGCAGCTAAACCTCAGTTACTCTGTGGAACATCTGGTTCCTGCCCCTCCCAAAGGCTCTGCACCCCACTGACGCCCCCGTGAGCAGAGCCACGTGAGCCCGGCTGGGCGAGCAGGACCAGTCCCTGCTGCCATCCCTGTCCCGGGGACGGGGCTTCTCCAGGCGCTGGGGCTGGCCGGCGCTGTGCACGGCTGCCTGGCTACGACGCGTGGCCCGAGCCCCTTCCGAGTGGTGTGTGCAGGGCAGTTAGCAGAGCCATCGTGCCGCTCATTAACAAGGACTTGCAATAGCTGTCTTGGACTGGCAGACTTAAATTCCAAATCCGTAATAAGTGTGAACTTAATGAATATAGTATGTTTATGCAGAGCCTAATTTGACATAAATTGGATTTAATTTTTTTGGATTCATTTACTGTACAATTTCCTACTAGTGTTGTGGTTGCAGCTGCATAGAGTAAAAGCTCATTTAGTACGTGTGTGCTGATCTGTGGCCAGGAGAACCTGATAAAAGGTGGGACAGTGAGGAACCCCTCGAGCATCGCCCCACTCCCCGCTGTCTCCTGTGTGCCCTCATTTCCCATGGCTGTAGCAGAGAGACCTGCACAGTTTTCTGCACCAGCCAGGGCAGCACTGCCCAGCCGTGCCGCGGCTGCCCCGGGCCTGAGGAGGTGCATCCTTTGCCGTTCCCCTGCCATCCATGAGTGGGGTCTGGAGGCTGTGAGGTGTCCCTGGGTCAGAGGTCGTACGTGGCAGCCTGGGCTGAGCTCCCAGCGCAGTGTCCTGACACGGCAGGTATTCCTGTAGCCCCGCACCTCCCTGTGGCCAGGAGGCAGTGCCCAGGGAAGCCGGTGCTGTGGCTACCGGGCTGTGGGCGCTGCACTGGGAGGGGATGGTGCTGCCTTGCTGGGAGGAGCGTGCACTGCCCACATTCCCATCCTTGCTGAGTGCTCCTCTCGGCTTTGTTAGCGAAGCTGCTCCTTATCACTCTGCGTCAGAGGTGTGCTCGGGAGCCGGCCGACCCTGGGCGCATTCACTCTGCAGTGGCTCGTGCTGAGCGCAGGTGAGGACTCCAGCTCTTCCGCATCTTGGAGCATCCCTGCAGGCGTGGAGCAAAATCAGATGGGTAAAAGGAAGGCCAAGAGCCCTAGAAAGACCACTGGTGACTCGTGGCAGCTGGGAAGGTCCTGGAGGTCTCCTGAGATGGACAAAGTGCCCCTTAGAGGACTAACTGACACGCTCCTGGCCTTGGGCTGCGGCTGGAGGCGCTGAGGCACTTCTGTCCCATCCCTCCAAGCTCAGCCACACATCTCTTTGTGGTGGGGTTTTCTGTGCTGGGGCCAAGTTTTCCTGCGCATCTCTTTCAACCCTCCTTGCCAGGGAGAATGGTCAACCTCCTGTACGCGGTGCTGCACTCCCTCCTGAGCTGCCTCATCCCCCCAGCCAACCTGCTGGTCATTGTGGCCGTCTACCAGCTGATGAGGAAGCAGCCGGGCACCAGCTATGTCTACATCCTCAACCTGGCCACTGCCGACCTGCTGGTGGGTGTGATGTGCATTGCCGAGGCACTGGACGACATCCTCGATGGGGATTTTGACCGCAGCAAATCCTTCTGCCTCCTGCGCATCGCCATGAGCATGACACCTTGCATTGGCTCCATCCTGACCTTGCTCCTGATCTCCCTGGACAGGTACCTGGCGGTGACGCTGCCACTCTCCTACCCCACCCTCCTGAAGAAAATGCCCATGGTCCTCTCCCTTGTTGTGCTCTGGATGCTCTCCTCCTTTTTCGGGCACTTGCCTCTCATCTTGCCCTCCCTCCAGCGAGGCAACTACACAGGTTACTGCGGGCTCCTTTACGCAGCCAAGAGCGAGTACCTCTACACAATCTGCTTCGGCATCTTTGCTCCGTCCCTGCTGGTGCTGGTGTGCCTGCATGTCTGGGTGGGCAGCATCGCCTACGTGCAGCACCGGCGGCTCCGGCATGCCTGCGCCCAGGCGGGGGCCCCCCGTGCCCGCCTGCGCCACTTCAAGGCGCTGCGGACTGTGCTCATCGTCCTTGTTGGCTTCAGCCTCTCCTGGGGCCCCTACCTGGTGGGGGGCACCGTGCAGGCCGCCTGCAGCTCCTGCAACCT